GGTCAATGGGGGGCAAATGAGGATAGGAGGGAGAAGGAACTGGGATTGGTATGTAAAATAAGATTGTTTGCAATTTAAATAATAAATAACTAAAGGAAAAACTACAAAACAGTATTACCAACGGTATAAAAAATGGTAAGTTCAATTCAAATCATTGTTTTCCTTCCCTTTTGTAGGCTTTAATGAAAATGAGGCTTCCCTGGGGGTATACAGTGTTTACAACAGAAAGTTTGCAACCTTAGAGTCCTTTAGCTAAAAGCCTTATGTGCACTAAGTTAATCTGAAAAAATAAGTCAAATCATATGAGGTTCTTTTTATCTCTCTGGTTGGGCTGCTCCTAATATTGAAGCAAGCAGCCATTACAAAAGCCAAAGAAAATCTGTTATGAAGCTCATTAAACAAGTTTCATTTAGTTTGTTTGCTTTTGTTTTGTTTGCTGGTTCCCACACTCCAGTTTCTAAAAGGCAAAAAAGAAACTCTGTGCCTTTGCTAATTTTTATTGTTCAATATAAGAAGACAATAGAATGTGTCTTACAAGTATGAGATGCGTTTTTCACCAGGGGGCACTGATCCCAAGGAAGAGGTTGTTGAAAAGATTGAGAAAAATAAAACAATGTCCAGCCAATGATGACATTGTAGTAAAGAGCGACAAAGTAGCACACCTGCAAAAATAAATAAATAGATAAAAGAATGTAGCATATCTTGCATCCTCTGCCACTCCCTTTAAAACAGAGGGTTGGAATTCACTCCACCTAATAATATTTAAGTCTTGATCTAATATTTTTCTCTTATCTGAAGACGTTATCTTTTCTTTAAAATACTGTTTCTTAGTTGAACATTATTTTGTTTGTTTTATATTTTTTTCTTTTTATTATTCTTCTTTCTTTTTAAAACAATCTGAGTTGAACATTAAAAATACATTGCAAGATCAAGGAGATATAGATTATTTTATCCCAGGAGCTTCTAAAACGTGAAACAAAGACTTGGAGATTACAGAGATGAGAATTATGTCATTATAAAACAGCACAGGTAAGAACAAAGTCAGGGGAGGAAACTTACTACACAGCTTGCGAATCCAATCCCACCCAGTTTAGGGCTTATGTAATTCCAAACCCCGATGCTGCCTCTCCGAATTCTTTGACCCACAGAAAGTTCCAGAAAAAAGAGGGGGATTCCTATTACCAGAAGTAGTATTAAATATGGCAAAAGATATGCACCTAGAGAGACAAGAACAAACAGAACGTGTCATATTTTCAATAGTCATAGTAGAGTATACAGTTAGTCTAATTATTTCAAGAAAGACAATATCTGAGTTTTTCCATTATACACATAGAGGTCTTTGAGAAAGTATAACTGATTTTCTTTAAACTTTCAAAAGTTTGATCCTGGATTTAATCGCTCTATGAAAGCCCACAATTCAGCTACATGGCTCCATGACTAGATCCCTTGCCGCAAAAGTCTGGTGACCTGGATTTGATTACCTGAACCAGAGTGGAAAGAGAAATCTGTCCTGAAACCTCCTCTAATCTCTGCATGCATGTTCATGTCTGCAACACACAACACATGCCCCACACACAAACACACATGCAAAATACTAGACAAGTTTAAAATGCTTAAAAAGTAGTTCATGGTAGAATAGTTCTGTTTAAAAGGGGTTAAAATAACCCCACTTTCATTTTGTTGAAAAGGTGAAATAGCTTCATTTGAAAATAAAGGATAAGTATTTCTGTCAATAGACTTCGCAAACTCAAATCCATCTTCACACAGCATTTATGAGGTTATTTACTGAATACTAACCTAAACTGCATTCCAAAAGCTCGAAGTGAGATCAATGGCATTTGACAAACTAAACCTTTTTGTATTCTAAGAAAAAGCAATACCAAAGAAGAGCAAATACCTAGTGTGGAAGACAGAAAAAGAAAAATAAACAATTTCTAACAAAGATAATATGGTTTTTTCATATATATCACATGTAAAAAGATCACTTCAGGATTCATATGCTTTTTGTTTTCTAAAATTATGAGGAAGGATGCACACAGTGCTTGAAAAAGTAAAACTAACAAACTTTGTAACTTCCATCAAAGTGTATGTGCTGCTGTATCTGTGGCAAAACACCCATATTTAAGGAAATAACCATTTTTCATCAAAATCCCATGTAACTAACAATTCGCAATGCAACTGAATAGCTGAGCAATAAATATCTTTCTTTTTTGATTGATTGATTGAATGATGGGATTAATAAATTACATACAGACATTTCTATATGAAAACATTGTAAATGAGTGTGAAATGATCTACATATTGGACTTCATACATTCAAATTTTTGGCAGATATCTTAGCTCTGGGTTCATTGATAAATATATCCGATCACAAAGAAGTAAGTTGGAGAGTGACAAAGCGGGAAACTCAGTGTGCTCTCTGTCCTCCATGGGTGCACAGGAACACTTATCTACACAAATGCATATGCAGACCACACACACACACACACACGCATGCACACACACACAAATGGAGGGTGTTACAACTACTAGCCTCATTTTACATGTGTGGGAACTGAGTATGAAGAAATGAGGCAGGTACAGAAAGGTCACGTGACTTGAAACAAATGAAAGAGCCCGGTTTCTAACTGTCAGAGTGACTGCAAAATATGAGACAACCTCTGCAGCCTAGGATTTATTAAGCTTGGCACTGTGTGGAAAATGTAATATCTACATGAGTCAGCTTGTGTTTTTAGACCTGTTTTTTATTTGTGTTATTCAGAAAATGCTTCAAATGATTCATGAACAAGGAGTTTTAGTTCTTTTATGTTTGACTAAGATATTCCTCCTGCAATACTGCTCTCTGTTTTCATTTGTAGTCAAGAAAGCTGACTCTAATCCCAGGCTGCCTTCATCCTTAGCAGGAAGTTCAATAAGTTGTAGAAAGTGAAATGTCTCAAAATAAGAATTTCTACCAATCTTAGAAAATGAAATGAACAGTGAAAAACTAATAAAAAAAAGCAAGCCAGCCAGCAAGAAAGCAAACTTTCTTGAAAAACAACCATATGCAGGTACTAATGTTTGACACCATAAATAATTCCTATGTGATAATATCAACTTACTAGGGAATTACTGTTTTATGAGCAAAACATAGTATGTGGCTCACTTCCTGTAAAATTGAATTCTTAGCTCTCAGACAAGTCTGTTAAATGGCTTTTTCCCCCCAAATCTCTTACTGTGTTCCTGGTGGAATTATCTAACCATCTCAAATATACTTTAATCACCACACTACCTTGGAGTTTTTTTTTTTTGAGTAACTACAAAAAGAATTGCATATGAATAATTCTATTCAGTTGACACGGTGTATGGAGATCATAATTACTGCGAAATAAAACCTTATTTGTTTTCAGCCAACCAAACTATCACACACCAGAATAAAATATCAAAATACTCTTTATAATATTTGTTGATAAAATGTTCCTTACAGAATATGTAGTTGTGGGTTTGTGTATGTGTGGGGACAGAAGTTCACTGACGTGTACGTGAGCATGTAGAGGTCAGAGGTCAATTTCAAGCATCTTCCTCTATCAAAATACACTTTACTTTTTGGGACAAGGTCTCTCACTGAGACTGGCACTCACCGATTTTGTTTAAGTGGCTGCTAGCAAGCTCCAGGGATTTGCTTGACTCCCTGCCATGAGCATTAGGGTTGCAGATGCATGCCACCATGTGGGTGCTGGGAATCCAGATTCAAGGCTTCAAGCTTGCATATCATGTGCTTTTCCTACTGAGCCATCTTCCCAGCCCAGAATATGTACTTTTATCCAGACTTACTTTAACAGACTTTATATATGCATATATTATAAATTTCAAAACAGTTGGCCTTTCTCCATTTTTCCCCTTGAGCTAGAAATTGAGTCTGTGATTGCATGTGTGTCAGAAAATCATTTTACTCTTGAGTCACATCTAGAGTTCTTTCAGTTTTTTTTTTGTGTGTGTGTGTGTGTGTGTGTGTGTGTGTGTGTGTGTATGTTTGTTGGTTTGAGACAGGGTTTCTCTGTGTTACAGCTGTTGCTGTCCCAAGCTGTACAAGAACTTACTTTGTAGACCAGACTAGCCACAAACTCATAGAGATTCACTGGCCTCTGCCTCATGAGGGCTAGGATTCAAGACATGTACCACCACCATGCCCAGCTTTTTCACAGGAATTTTATGACAGTTTTATTCATTTTATGACAGTGGTAATTATGTGCCCTCTGTACATAGTAAAAGTGCTAATGATGATGACACTATTTTCGTTTAAAATTAAGAGCATTCTACTTTTTACAGTACTTGTTGAAGCTGAACCACATTCCACAGTATCAGAGAACTGGAATCTATGGTGTAAAATCTTCAAGGACAAAGAATGACTGGCATTACAGTAATTATCTGGTTCAACTCCTTCCCATGAGTCCTAAAAGTGCTACGCCACATTTAAAGACCATATTCATTCTAAATTACATGTTAGTTCTGCTTTTGCTAAAGAATGAACAATTTAAAATTCAGAGGTAACAAGTCACCGAGAGAACCTCCATGTTCAGTCAGTGTTGTTGGCTTTAGATTCTCACTGACAGAAAAAATCTGGCCTGCATAAGAAACGTAACCCATGTTACAAACGTTCCCCTCAGTACTTCAGCAATGTTTACAGTATCCAGGGAAGAAGAATAAGAATGTGTTACCTTGAGCAATCCCTGCATATTTGTAGGATGCCAAGCTGTTTCTGTGGAAACTTAATCTGAACACAGAGCTGGGCTTGATTCCCACAAATGAGTCTCTCTCCCTTTGCAATGGAAGTCATGGTTTCAGAAATAACAATACCATAGTGGCAACAGGAGCTACCTGAAATAATGAACTCTAATTTGCTAGTGTAGCAATTCATCATGAAGGCAAACAAACACAACTTACCACCGCCATTCTTCTGACATAGGTACGGGAATCTCCATACATTTCCCAAACCTACAGAAAATCCAACTTGAGCCAGAATGTATTGCAGTTTACTGTTCCAAGCTGGCCTTTCGTCATCAGCTTCAGATCCATCTTCAGCATCTGTATCTTTCTCTTCTTGAACATCCACGATTAGTTCACTCTTCTTAAAAGCATCTTCAGGTGAGTCTTCATTGGACAGAAGGTCCTTGACGGACTCAATAACCTCATCATCTAAATCTCTCTTTACCACTTTGCTATTCTTAGGCATTGGAAAGTGTTCTTTTTAAAGATGCCCTTGAGACAAATATATTTATTTAAAATGAAGTTAATCTGAGAAGGTTATCAGATAGATCCTTGATTCAAGGTGAGAAATTCTTAGGGATCCTGACTCTGATCGCAATGCTCTGTAGACACCTGTGAAATGGAAAGTTGAAATGTGGTGTTTAGTAATGAAAAATATCAACAATATGTCAACATCCTTTCTTGTTCATTTTCATGGTAGACTATCTAGGGCTATAATACATGATTGATCTTGGTTATTCAGAGCTCAAAAATTTCAAATGTAATTGAATCAGAATGTGTATGAGTTTCTCACATATTTCTTTCAGTTAAATTACTCCTTGAAAAAAATACACTTTAATATTGACTTTAATGTGCAGACTATGGACTGTTCATTATTAGTTAACTTGAAGCATTCATAATTCCTTTCCTCTCTAACTCAAGTAACTTCTACACATCTATTATTTCTGTTCATTACAATTTCACATATAACTTCTAGCCCACCCTATAAATACATCTTAGATCATCTCCACTTATTTATGAACTACTCTTCATTCATTCACACACTTCTTGTTAATTGTGATGGTACTCTATAGATTACAATAATGAAATATTGGAATGTCCGCTTTTAAGCATCTTATATCTAATGAAGAGAAAAGTCTGCCTCAAATTAACTGTACAACAACAGAGTATTCTAAATGAAGACAACGAACTAAATAAACCAATTGTCCATGTGGCTCATTAACATTGTAGACTGGTGTGTAATAGCTCTTTCCTAATCTACTCAAAGCTAGTTTATCAAGAAATTCATGAGTCAGGCAGTGGTAGTACATGTCTTTAATCCTAGCACTTGGGAGGCAGAGGCAGGTGGATCTCTGTGAGTCCAAGGCCAGTCTGATCTACAAAGTGAGTTCCATTCCAGGACAGCCAGGGTTGTTACACATATAAGCCCTGTCTAAAAAAACAAGTCAAAACAAAAACAAGGAAAAAAACAAAGGGAAGAAAGAACACATTTATTTTTTCTAGCAGGAGCTGATAAAATTATAAATATTGCCTGTTCATCTTTTTCCTGATTCCATTTAGACTGTTCCTTACATTTGGTATGCCCTTATTCCATTTCAGTTCAACTGTAACCCTTTCACCCAATGTTTGTAACATTTCCAATTGGATACATTATCTAATACTTTGCATATAACAGAAGACTGTGTTATGGCTTACAAAACCTAAATTATGCACAAACTCTTTCATCAAAAATGTTTTCAAAACTCTTCCAGAACATAAACCTGTGGCTCAGTCTCATTGTAGGGCTCCTAGCAGTGAGATGAGGATTTTTCCCTTGAGCCTAACTGGCTTTGGGGAACCTGTTCCCCATGCTGGATTACCTCACCCAGCTGTGATGCAGGGGGAAGAGTTCTGTCCTGCCTCAGCTTGATGTGTCAGGCTTTGTTCAAGACCATGGCAGGCCTGCCCCTTTCTGAATGGAGGCAGAGGAAGAATGAAAGAGGAGATGGGTCGATGCAAAGCTTGTGGGGAGGGACTAGGGGACCAGGAGGAGAGGAGGGGAAACTAAGGTGGGTATGTAAAATAAATGAAAAAAATGCTATTTAAATAAACAAATAAACATTAGTCTAGGAAATAAATTTCCCCAGTTAATTTCGTTTATATTTCATTCTAAGATAATGATATATATATATATATATATATATATCTTGATGAAAAATCCTCTCACAGGCAAGTTATTATAAAATGAAATAGTATTTTGTAGACACAAGACACAAAAGAGTGGCCCTTGAAGAAGATGCAAAAGCGCAAACACGGACACAGAATGTAAGTATAAATGAGGGAAATGGGTGCTAATTAATAAAAAGATCCCATGTAAGCTATCACAAATTACTTTGTATTACAGTTATGAATTCCATTGGCAAATAATTATTCCTTTCTGTCAAGTAAGTGGAGTTTTGTGGGTCAGAAGACTGGGGGACTGGGCTACAGGATCATGAACCTCAGCCACACAAGAACTACCATAGCAAAAGTCACAGAGAAGCTGAGATTTCAATAGGAAATAAGATTTATGATTTTGACAGGCACTGGTAGTGCTCTCCTCTAATTCAAGCACTTGGGAAGCAGAGGCAGGCAGATCTCTGTGAGTTCAAGTCCAGCTTGATATACAGAGTGAGTTCCAGAGCAGGCTCCAAAGTTACAGAGGAACCCTGTCTGGAAGAAAAAACAAAAACATATAACTTGTAGAAATTATATTGAGAGGAATATGCAAATTGAAATTTAAAATAATGTATCAAAATTGGGAAATAAAATGTGAGGAATAGATAGAAATGAAAGTGTAAAAATGCCATCATGAAAGAAATAAGAGTGTTTAGACAAGATCCTCATAATCAAAAAAATACTATCCTTCCTCAACTTTTTCACATGGTCATGTTCTCAAATAAGCTTTCTTCTTTTATGATAATGGAATCGTATAAGAACTGATATGCCTATGTGAAGAGATATATCACTGGCAAATATTTAAATCTAGTTTATAAAGACAGGACATCTGAAATCTTAGAGATGCTGTGATCTTGACCAAATTACTTAAAACATTAATAAATTGAGAAGGATAACAAGCTTGCCCAACGAAAAGTCTTGCTGAAATAACATTACAATGAGAAGGTGCGGTGTCTGCTTTTACTATGTGACTATGCTCACTCTTTTGAATGTGTTAGTCTATAATTAATTTTGCATGTCCAGAATAAATACTTCATGTTTTAGCAAGACTTTTTTCCTAAACACTATGTTCTTTTTTTCACACCGGGTCATTTCAAAACCTGCTGACTTCAAACAAAGCAAGAGTTTTAAGTGTGTATGAGTCATTGGTTCACTAATGTGAGCTAGATTTTCATGGACAGTTGTTGCACCAGTTATAACATGCCGTATTACTGCATCAAAGGCATTTTTCAGTTCTAATATGACAACCCAAGAGTCTCTACCTCAACCAGGCAGGAGACAAACTAGCATTCAGCTCACTGTATAGCTTCTAGATATACCCTTTCTAACAGTCTGGCCCCTGCTGCCTATATTGTAAACATAGATTACCAACTCTAGCCTACAGAAAGTAAGCCCATAAAATGTACTAGTAAGTCTCTGAGCCATAATTGCAAATGACTTACTGGTCAGAGACAGGTACCCAACTAAATCCACATTGATTTGAACAAAATAAACATCTAAACCCATGGAACAGAATAGAGGACTCAGAAATAATTCCACACAGTTATGGCCATATTATCTTTTATGAAGGTAGAAAAATGCAGCCAATTCAGCAAATAGTGTTGACAAAATTGGATATCTACCTTCAAAAGAATAAATTTAGATATATTCCAATCATGTTGCATAAAATCAATATTAATGATAAAAGACCTTAATTTAAAATCTGAAATGTCTAGAAGAAAACAGGAGATGCACTTCAATGTATAGACAAGAACTTCCTGAATATAATCCTAATAGCATAAGTAACAACATTGAATTAACAAATAGGGTTACATAAAATTTTAGAAGTATGCACAGGAAGCAAAAGTGGCACTGCAGTGAATGGAAAGTTGGCAGAAAGGGAGAAAACAATCTTTGCCAGCTATACTGAAGATAAGATTCTATTATCCAGAATATGTGGAGAACTGCCATTGTGGAAACCAGTCAGAAGGTTTCTCAATAAAATTAAGAATAAAATTATAAAATCCAGATATTCCAGTCCTTGAATGACTATCTTCATTCAAGTCCTTGAAGGCCACAGAGGCACTTGTAAATCCATGTTTACCACTGCTCTTTTCACAATAACCATGAAATGCAGTCAGCTAAAATATCCATCAACTGATGAATCGATGATGGATATGTAGTGCTTATTCACAATGGTATTTTACTCAGCCACTAAGAAAAATGAAATCATGCAATTTACAGGAAAATGGTAACTATCTTGAAATGAAATTTTACTAAGTGAACCATACTAGCCTTAAACAAATGCCACATGTTGTATTTCATGCAGATCTTATCTTCTAGTATTACATAAGTATATTTAATGAAAGTGAGTGTCATTAGTTAAGGAAACAAAACAAGAAAGGGGCCTATATGAGAAAAGAGGTTTTAAGAAAGGGAGTTAAGGAGGATAGTAGAGCATTTGAAAGTGGAATGTGGTATATTGAGAATGGAAGGGTACAAGAGGCCCTGAGGGAGGTGGGAGACAGAAACAGGTAAGGATAACCAACCAACAGAACAAATGTATGGAAACATCATAATGAAACTAGTTAATTTTCAAAGAGTTTTGTTTAATTGTTTCTTTGTTTTGAAGGGATGTAGAAAAAGAGACTCATTATATAGCTCTAGCTGTCCTGAAACTCACTACCTAGACCATGTTGGCCTCAGACTCACAGAGATCTGCCTGCCTCTGCATCTCAAGTGCTGGGATTAAAGGTAGGCACCCCCATACTCAGGTGCAAGCTAATCTTTAGATAGAAATTAAGAAGAGATAAATCCCCCTTCTTTTTTGAAGGAAGGGACAACAAAGCTATACAACAAAGGGTGTGTGACAACAAAAAACGACCATCATCATCTTTGAAAATGATGCTCCATGTTTGTCCTATTAGGTTACCTTCCTTGCATGTGGTTTCAATCATAAGAAGAATATCTTTCATCTATCAAGTTTCATCAAATGTTTCAGTGGTAGAACACAACTACGTCTGTAGTCTGGGATGGTATTTGGTGACTCTAAGAGCTACTGTCATTGCTTCCTCTTTCCAACTCATTGACAAGCACCCTGTTGTGTCTATGAGGCCTTGTGCCCGTATCTTTCTTTCTTTCATTTTTAAAATTTTGCCAGCATCAGTTTTTCACAGCTTGCAAACAAGAACTCTAAATAACAC